CTTAAACTCGCGATAGATCAATGTATGTGATAATCTCACTTTCTATATATAATTTTTCGCTGTTTGAATAACAGTGGAAAGGAAACGTTATATAATTATCAATTTCCAACGTTTTTATTAAATTGTAATCACGTTAAATACAAATTCAGTCCCATTAAACATTTTTTTTAGCCTACATGACACCCATGTCTGGTTCTTGTCTAAAAAGACGGGTTTATAATGTTTAATACATTTGGCTGCTTTTAGTTGGTTCACCCTCCGCCTATGTCTAGCAGAGACTGTTTTTCTCAGCTAAATGAGAATCGGAAGACATTTAAACACATTACTGTCTAAGAGAAACAACTGAGATATTAAATAGATTTATTTCAGTTTTTTTTATTCTATGTGTGATCTTCCCCCAATTCTGTTTCTTTTCTTTGACACTGAGTCCAGGTTCAGCTATTCCAGTGGGCATCGATGTGCAGGTGGAGAGCATTGACAGCATTTCAGAGGTCAATATGGTAAGTGTCTGCTCTTTTATAAATTACTTTTAACCTTTAACCTGTCAGTGAGATCTGCACACCCTCAACTCCCAGTGCTAGTCATACATCAAGCTTAAATCCTCGACCATTTAAACAGATTGGATTCAGGACTGAGGCAGAGGGCAAAGGTTAAAACAACAATGAATGTGTGCAGAAAAGCATGTTAAATCCGTAGACGTGTTCATTCGACATACATGTCTTTATGTACTCAAGTGTCATTCATTTATTTTTATATTATGTTATTTTTCCTTATCCTGTTGCTAATAACATAAATTGAAGTATGAGGATTATGTAGTGAAAACAAATGTTTGGCACCAGTTATAATCATATATAGACAGTGACTTTCAAAGTATGAAGGAGTGGCTTAAGCAAACTGACAAAATCGTTTTCATGTCTTTTGTGGGCATAGGACTTTACCATGACCTTGTACCTTAGGCATTACTGGCAGGACGACAGACTGACCTTCCCCTCCAGCAATAACAAAAGCCGAACGTTTGACGCTCGGCTGGTGAAAAAGATCTGGGTGCCTGACGTCTTCTTTGTTCACTCCAAGCGTTCTTTCATTCACGACACCACCATGGAAAACATCATGCTCAGAGTCTATCCAGATGGAAACATTCTCTACAGCGTCAGGTACCGCATGAAGCCACTTTCCTGGAACCAGATGTTTTTACAAGAGCTGTGAAACTAGCAATTTCCCCGAGGCATTTTGCTGTGTTTCAAGATTTCATAGGAAAGGAAACAAGATATTTTCAGCTCTTTACTTTGAAGTAAAGTTTGTCAAGAAAGGACAGTTCACCCAAACCTAAAAATTCTGTCATCATTTACTTAGCCTCATGTCGTTCCAAACCTGTATGACTTTCTTTCTTCTGAAGAAAGAAATTTGATGTTTTGAAGAATTTTCCATACCACAAATGGAGAAAACAGCATTCTGAAGTCATACAACTTTGTGTAATTCACAAATGTCATTGTTCAGTGATAATCTTCCCATTCAGTGAGCTTTTAACTCAAGAACCACTATGACTGGATCCTCGAGTCAGTGAGAACTGGAGAACTGGATCTGATTCTTGAACAAACTTTTTTTTTTTTTTTTGAGCTGATTCTATTTAGTGAAGCAGTTGAATCTGTTCACACTCTGGACTGAATGATTTGTTCAGTGAGTTGAACTCGAGAACCAGATCAGTCTGATTCATTTTCTTTTTCTGCCAGTTCTTTCAAGTGAACTTGGTTCATGGATAGGACTGAACTTTTGTTTTGGGATTGTGTTGCCGTGGTCAACACAAGTGGAGGATTATTAGTGAATCGTGATTTAAATATTAGTTTATTCATAAAACCTAAGATATAGCATGGCTACAGAAGATTGAAATATGGCCAACAAATTGTATGGACTACTTTTATGTCTTGTTCTTTAATTGTCATCATAACTGTAAACTGTCATTATATGGAAATATCTGAGTGAAAGTTTTATGTAAATTTTACAACAGAATTAGTATTATTTTATTATTATTTATACACTATTTTTATTATTATTTTTAATTGGCTTTTATTTTTATATCTTCCATTTTTATTTAAATTTTAGTTTAATTGTTAGTCCTTTTTTATGCTTTTGACTTTTTAAAGTTTTTTATTTCAGTTTTGGTTTTAATTATTTCAGTTACTAATTTTAGTACTTCAACTTATTTCAGTTAGTTGCCAAGGCAGCGTTTCAAACATTTAGTTTAGTTTAAGTTTTAGACAGAATAAATCCTTTTGTGGGAGACTTTGAGCTTTGTAACTGCAGATCGTATACATGCACAAACAGCCACATAACACACTAATGAAAAGGAAAACAAGGAATCGCATCATATGACCCCTTTAATATTTATATTTTATTTCAGCTTTATTTTAATTAACAAAATGTTTTTTAATAGTTTTAATTTAGTTAACGATAACAACACTGATTATAATTTTTTTTTTTTCATGGGGAAAAAAGTCATACAGGTTTAATTATGTGTGACCAAATCCCCTTTGTTTACTTTAACTGACAAATGAGGTGTGTGTGTGTGTTTTTTTTAAAAATACTTCTTAACTATAGTTGGACAAGAATCTTTTCAAAGAATTAGCAGCATGCATGGCAAGTGTAGGCTTGTGTGCATGATCAGGTGTGCCTGAGCCAGTTAATGCGCAGGATCAGTTTTCATTTCAATTAATCTGAATTGTTTTCTTGATTTGATGTTTTGCTAAGCACAATATCACATGTCTCAATTTTAAAGGGACTTTTTCAGTCTAATTGTAAGTGATTTGTTAAGGCTGTCCTGAATTGTGAATTGCAGAATCACAGTGACGGCTCTCTGCTCTATGGACTTCAGCAGGTTCCCTCTAGACACACAGAACTGCTCTCTAGAGCTGGAGAGTTGTGAGTATGACCGTCTGTGTGTGCATGTACACTCAACATTAAGCAATATCAACAGAGTACAAGGAAATAATTAGTCAAAGCACTATGCTCTAAGTATACCTGTAAACATATCCTTAATGTAGCATGTTGTGTTTAAAGGGATAGTTCACCCCAAAATGACAAATTCTGTCATCTTTTACTCACATTGATTTCTTCTGTGGAGCACAAAAGAAGAAATTTAGCAGGATGTTCACAGCTTGTACAATGAAAATACACAAATGTTTGAAAGTTTGGGGATAGTAAGATTTGTTTTTTTAATAATTATTATTATTTTTAAAGAAACAAATACTTTTATTCAATAAGGACACATTAATTTGAGAAAATGTGACAGTAAAGCCTTGTCAAAAGTTCTATTTTAAATTAATTTCCTTTTGAACTTTATATTCATCAAAGAGTCCTGAAAAATGTATTATGGTTTCCACAAAAATACTAAAGAGCACAATAGTTTTCCACATTTATAATAATAATAAATATTTCTTTAGCACAAAATCAGCATATTAGTGATTTGCATAGTGATTTCTGAAGGATCATGTGACACCGAAGACCAACCTCAAACTTTTAATGGTAATGTATACAGTTACCCAGGACCAGTCAACTTTAAAAAGTGGTTCATATCACTTGGGCGCTAAATTCCAAGTCTTCTGAAGCCATATGATAGCATTGTGAGATGAACATACCAAAATTTACGATTTAAGATTTTCAGTGAAAACACATTCTTCTTGGCATTTAGTATAATTGGCGTCAAACCTGACTAAACTTATGTATGCATAAATGCCATTTTTATAACAATGACCTGTTTCTTAAACAAAGCTATTGTTTCTTTCAGAAGGCTTGGAATATAAGTCATGAGTCAGTTAAATAAAAGTAGTAAAAATAGTTTGAGAATTTTTATATATATATATATATATATATATTAGATTAAAAACCTAAACTTGTAAATAAATATGTAAACAAAAATGAGAAATGTAGTCTTGGCACATAACTAATATAAATAAGTTGAAGTTAAAGTACTAAAATTACTAAAACTGAAATAAAAATTAATTAATCCTATATAGAAATATATATATATATTTAAAACTAATAAAAGCACACAACAAAAAATGGTAAAACTTAAACTAAAAACAAAAATGGAATATTTAAAGTAAAAGCTAATTCAAATAATATTAACATATAAATTAATACTATAATAGTATACAAATGATGCTAAAATAACACTGACACAAGTTGTATGGACCACTTTTATGGTGCTTTTTGATTTTTGTACTAGTCATTCACTATATTCTTTCATTATATGTCAAAAGAGTAGCGTAAACATTCTTCAAAACTTTTCCTAATGTGTGAAATGGGCAAAAGAACATTTTACGTGATTATGATGACATAATATTCATTTTTGGGTGAACTAGTCTAATAGTACTAATAGTAAAGTTTTATATGTTTTGGGCATGCTAGTGGTGTATCATATAACCTTTTTTTAATTTTGGTAGTTTTCTCCAACAACTACCAGCAGTCATATTTAATCTGATTCATGCAGTCTTCATTATTGCAGATATAAAATAATTGCACTGAGGAACTGGTTCAAAGTTGCATATCTCTGTCTCTTTCACCCATGACACACAGAATTACATGGGCCTCAGCTTCAGAGGAGAGATGACAGAGCTGGTTTTGCATGCTCTGTGTTCTCTCCTCTGAGGAGTGCCGCCCATGTATCTTCAAAGAGAGTTTGCTGTCTCACACCTCCCCACTCCCTTCCCACGTTTTATTTTTTGCTCTCTTGAAGATGCATACAATGAGAACGACCTCATGCTCTATTGGAAGAATGGGAACGATTCATTAAGGACTGACGAGATTGCACTCTCGCAGTTTTTTATTGAAGAATTCCACCCTTCCTTCGGGCTAGCCTTCTACAGCAGCACCGGTATGTGTGCTTCACTTCCTCCTGCATGCTTTTATTACCGTACTACCATGTGCTTCATTACAGTGAACCAACAGAGAGTCCAGGGAATGAGATTTCCCAGCATTCTTGGCTGAAACGGTTGGATATATGCAGTGTTTTTCTTTCCCTTGATTTCTTGGGTCACTTTCAGGAAGCCTGTTACCCCAAATCTTAGATAAACATTTACATCACTTAAAAAAATCGATTTCAAATAAATGTTGAAATAAATGTGTCATAGTTTTCACAAAAATATTAAGCAGCACAATTGTTTTCAACAATGGTAATAATAAGAAATGTTTCAGCCTCATGTCATTAGCCCCTTTCACACATAAAGTATTTATTGGTAAATTACCGTTAAAGGGGTCATATGACTTTTATAAAGAATATCTCTTTGGATTTGAGACTTTAGTCTTTGCAACTTTACAGATCTTCTTTATGCACCAAGAGCTTGTAACACTCCAAAGAGAAAGGAAAAATTGAAATCGCATCATATGACCCCTTTAAGAGATCATGTGTGAACAGGACCTTTTAAAAAATACCAGTAAATTCGTTCAAGGGAAGTTGTAACATTACCAGTAAATTACCGGTATGATGCTGTGTGTAAACGCAGAATAAATATTACCGGTATGAGCAAATTTGAGTTCAGAACGCGCTGACGTAAGACGTCTACTCTGGGCCAATCATAACATTCTGACGCAGATGATGCATTTACTCCACACTGCGAATACCTCAAGCATGTGACGGAAATGTTACGCCCCTTACCATACTGTGATGCCCTGTCCGGCCGGAGCGACGAGACAAAAACATTAAAACCCATTATAAACTAAGCATTTGTTGCATCCGGTGAAAGCAGATTTGTTGCATCCGGCAATCGTGACGTAAGACGTCTACTCTGGGCCAATCATAACATTCTGACGCAGATGATGCATTTACCCCATGCTGTGTAGATCGGCATCAACAAAAACATCAGCAAAAACACTGACTGTGTATACCCCTTCATATTTACAAACACAACACCGGGAAGCGCAGCCGTTAAGAGGTCATTTCTGGTTAATGATGTCACAGAATTTACCAGTATTTAAAACGGATGTGGGAATGGTGCTTTACCGATAAAAAGACGGAATGTCGTTGCCTGTGTGAACAGCGCATTTTTGTATTTACCGTTAAAGTCCTTCCAGTAATTTTACGGCAATTTACTGGTATTACTGTGTGACAGGGGCTAATGTCACATATTTAGTAGAAAATGCATAAATAAAGTTAACATTTAAGAAATTTCACAATTTTCACTTTTTCAATTTAGACTTTTTATTTATTTATTTATTCTTAAACTATTAAAATTTAATTTAAAATAAAGAAATATTTATTTTCTGAATATTTATATAATTTTCTTTCTGTATTTAAAGGGATAGTTCACCCAAAATGAAAATTGTTGTTCCAAACCCGTAAAACCTTTGTTCATCTTCAGAACACAAATTAAGATATTTTTGATGAAATCCCAGAGCTTTCAGACTCTGCATAGACAGCAACGCAACTACCACATTCAAGGCCCAGAAAGGTAGTATAAGAACATTGTTATTATTGAATAGAGTCACTATTTTTGTTTTCTTGGCGCACAAAGTAGCTTCATAAAATTATGTTTGAACCACTGATGTCACATCAGACTATTTTAACGATGTCCTTACTATACCTTTCTGGGCCTTTAACATGGTAGATCCCTTGCTGTCAGAAAACTCTTGGATTTCATCAAAAATATCTTAATTTATGTTCCGAAGATTAACGAAGGTCTTACTGGTTTGGAACGACATTAGGGTGAGCAATTCATTTTCTTTTTGGGTGAACTATCCCTTTAAGTTCTTTTAACTAAATCATCTAACATGTATGAAATGATATGTCTAAGTTCATTGTGCTGTTAAATATATCAACAGTAAGTCATGGGGCAACGCATATCCTGAGAATGATCCCTTTTTTTCTTTTTCATTTGTGATAAGTAGGGCTGCACGATTAATCAAATGCGATTGTCATGCGCATTTTGATAGTAATGCCGGTTCTGTAATCAGCAGGAAATCATCATCACGTGCTTTCAGATGGAGCAGAATTTACTACACATAGCCGTAGTTCACTGACAAGTTACGCAAAAAAATCGCAGACGATTTTATTGCGCGATTATGAAATCGAAGAAATAGTTTGCGATAATGACAGCTGTTTGCATAGCTTCTCTTTTTAAACCAATTTTTTACAGAAATTAGTTAAAGGGGACCTAACACACACAATTTCACCAAATCTCATATTAATCTTGAGTACCTAGTAGGGCTGCACGATTAATCAAATGCAATTGTCATGTGCATCTTGATAGTAATGCCGGTTCTGTAATCAGCAGGAAATCATCATCACGTGCTTTCAGATGGAGCAGAATTTATTACACATAGC